TGTTTAAAAATGGTCTTTCTGTAGGCTTTAGACATGAAAGAAGCGCTTACAGAGGCACAAAGTTTCTTACCCCACCCTGCTTTCTTTCTTTCAGGACCTTGTAGATGTGGCCCCATTTTTTTCTGGCACTGAACATTGGCTGCCAACAAGTATGTTACCAACCTGATTTGCTTAAATATTCAATGGTTTCTCTTTATCTTTAAAGGACCATAATTTTACAAAGATGTAAATTGGTATTGACAATACTAGGACAGTTTCCTTAGACAGAGGGTGCCAAAATGTATACGTATTTTACGAAAAGGAAAAACTATATATGCATTTTGGGGGAACCCTCTGTCTCATCGTATCCTTCAATATGTAGAATCGAATCTTTATTTCAAGGAGGTTTGCATTTTCAATTAAAGTTTTGAATTCTTTTTTCCATTATTCCAGATTTCTTATTCGAGGCTCTAATTTTGAGGATGTTAAGTTTCTTTTACTTAGACTCTGTGTCTGCTGCTCCTCCTGAATGCTGCGTCTTTCTCTGTGGTGTATTATCCTCTACTTATTGTTGTGATTCTCTGTGTTACCTGTGCTCCGTTTTCCCTTTGCTCACTATCAATTTAACCTTATTTCTAACACTTTAGTCAGTTCCTCTTGCCAGTCCGTGCCTGTGATCTGTAGTTTTCCCTTTAAAGCTGTGATACTTTTATGCTAAATTAAAGCAGCACATAACCCTTGAGTGTTTAGCTCCCAAACTACCCCTTTTTAAGACAGTGAAAAAAATCCAGTAATTTAGGAGTTTAAAGGTTTTCGTCCTTACCATGAAACCCATGCCTTCCTGTAGTCCAATAACTTGCTTTCTTTGGTAATCAAAGATCGAGGTATAACCTGGAAGGAAGGCGTCACAGGCAACTTTCTCAGTCTTTAACTTCTCTCGTACAGCTAAACGGTCCTGCTCCTTAGAGCGACTGTTGCTGGAAGAAAGAACAGAGTGAGCAGAAACAGTAAGTGCTCCTAGCTGTATGCATTGCTATCTACAGTAAATCAGGGTTCGGATGGACACTGGGTGGTCAGCTAGTCCTTGCTGACTAGCTTTGAAATTTAAGATTCTTCACAGCATTAGACTTGAGTCTTCAAAGAAAGGTATAAATTAAGAGAAGAAAAGAAGAACAAGAAGGAAAATTAGGTGAACTAGTGTGTTGTTATGGGAGAAAAAGGAAAAGGAGGCAGCCAAGGGGACAGGAGGGTATCCAGAGAAGCAGGAGAAGAAGTGTGGAAATGCTGTGGTAGAGCCAGGGTGGCTCGGCCCGCGTTAGAGACAGGGTGGCTCGGCCGGCGTTAGAGACAGGGTGGCTCGGCCGGCGTTAGAGACAGGGTGGC